AAAAAAAAAAAAAAAAAAAAAAAAAAAAAAAATCAGGAAGACCAAGAAATGGTTTGAGATGCAACTGACAAGGGATGCAGAAGGTAATCAAGAGAGATTCTATACATCAGGAGCAAAAGAAAATATAGGCCCCTTACTAAAGAATAAGGCAATTTAGTTATGGATGATGCAGAGAAGGCAGAAGTATACTTTTTTGTTTGTTTGTTTTAAACTACAGTCTTCACAAAAAAGGTCAGTTACTAGATGACTAGCATGACTGGCAGCAAAGATAGAGAAGAAAACAAACATCTTAGGGCCTTGCTGCACACTAGTTTTGGGTGGTTCCTGAAGCTCTTACCCCCCGGATTGTTCCAGCCTCATGGTTCTAACAGCACCCTGCTCCACATGCATGGCGAGAGCTGGCGGTGGCAGCTGCTGGGCAGTGGGGGGTGCGGCTGCCAAGGAAGCTGCTGTTCTGGGGAGGGGCAGCGGTGGCTGGATCTGGGCTGCAGGTACAGGGTTCTGCCTGCATGAACATGGGTGAACTTTGCTCCCAGCTGTACAGTGAAGCCAACTGAGGGGAAGGGAAAAAGGTTGGCTGCACCAGCTGCCAAGGCCCCCAGCCCTGGCCCTACACTGGCTTTTCGGGACCCCTGCCTGGGCGTCTCCCCACCTCAGGACCCAGAAGTGTCTGTCCACATGTCCCACATGCTGCTAGCCCGGGGGCACCAAGGAGGGGTGGGGGAATGTGGAGCAGAGCTGAGGAGGGAAGCAGGGGAACGCCCCCTGAGACTGAAGTTGCCCAGGAGCTGGGAAGAGCTTGAGGGACACGTGTGGCCAGGAGACATGCCCAGATGAGTGTGCAACAGCGAGGCCAAAGCACTTGGGTGCTGGGAGCAGGGCAGGCAGCGACCTCCCCCTGCCAAGTCCCTCTGCCTTGCTCTCAAGGGACCCTGCCACCTCCCTCCCCTCTCTGCAGTCTAGAATGCTGCTGCTGCAGTGGGCAAGGGACAGGCCAAGCATAGAGAACTAGGGCTGGAAGTGACCTCACCAGGCCTCTAGTGGGAAGTCAAAGCTGTTGTGCTGGGCAGTCAAAGAAAGTTTCTAGACTAGATGTGCGACTGCTGCAAACTCCAAGGTAACACTAAGCCAAACAACATTTGTGTGGCTCAAAGTACAATGTGTAACAAGGCCCTTAAAGCAGCATAAGAACAGATTAGGGATTACTC